TCAAAGTCAGGGGGTGTAGCAATATTATTGGTGTATGTGGATGACATAATAAAGAAGAGCAACAATTGTTGAGTCAATGCTTAGGCAAAGAATTTGAGATCAAGACCTTGGGAAAACTAAAATATTTTTTGGGAATTGAAGTTGCCCACTCCAAGAAAGGATATTTATATCCTAGCAGAAATACATCACTGAGTTGCTCAAGGAAACTAGCAAGGCAGCTTGCAAACCTACTAGTACCCCATTAGAATCAAACCTAAAGCTTGGAAATGCACTAAGTATTATTAGGTTAAATATCCTCACTAGCCTAACAATCCTAAAGCTCAATAACCCAACCTAATCCCATCCCATTTAGGCTAACAAATATTAATGCACTGCGAAGGCAACCTCAATCAAAATTATTAAGAATGACCTTGTTTGAAATTTAAATATATGACATATAAATTAATTTAATAAATTTTGTAGGATCTTACTATCCATGTTACGATCTTCGATTATAATTTATACCACCCTTTTCAATCTTAAGTAAGATCTCAATTTTGGCTACCTTGATCATACTACCATACTATATATCAAGTTATTAGATTAACTCTTTTCTGACGTGGAAGATCAGATTAACAACAAATATGGAATATACTAAGTTTTTTCCAACACTTATTCTAATAACTATAATAACAGAATAGTAATACAACCAAGTGACCAAGTAATCAAGTGGCTCTGGTATCACAATTAGGAATTAAAACAACATAAGAACTCACAACTAAAATAAAAGATGAAAAATAGAACAAAACAAACAATAGACAATAATAGAATTTTAATACTGGAAGAAATTACAATACCTCTTTTTAACTCTAAGGAGGAAATAATTTCCTCTCTAAGAAATTAGATAACGCAATTGTCATGTAAAACACTACCATAAAAGAGAAAGAAGTAATATAGGATGATTTACAAGATAAACATTATACTCCTTTTATAACATGAAAAGTAAGTACCAATATATAATTTCTTTGATATGAGACTTCCTTTCTCACAAAGCACATGAACACAAGTTTTTATTATTAACAGAGTTTCATAACCCACATGTCCTAATGACATCAAACACCAATATTCCCAAACAAAGTTGTTGAAAAATTAGCACTATTATTAAATTAGATTTGAAAAATAAAAACATAAATTAAAATTAAAAAAAGCATTCATTAACATTATTTTTTTACAAAATCATCAAAAATTATAGCTATACCTTTACCAAACTTGATGTTTTTGTAGCTTTCTCAAAATAATAGGCATAGTATCTTATAATGGAGGTGGACACATGAAATTACTAAAGAAAATCTAGTTTTAAATTGTTTACAATCCCCTTTTTCATAACCTTAACAAGATCCTTCAATTTTATTCTAACACATTTTTTGAATATTTTGATATTGGAATTTCTATTAAAAGAAGGTAACATAAGAAACTTAGGAGAACATCAACACACAAACTTTCTAAGCATCTAGAATATCTCTCAAGAGAAACCACCATGTTTATCGCACACCGAAAGGTTCACTTAACCTTTCATCATGTCCCTTAGACACAAATAAACATAGGGGGAAGAGAATTAAATTTTTTATTTATGTTTTCTTAGGCAAATATGTCAAAGTTCTTTCTTTGTTTTTACAAGCTTGTTCGTAAAAGGAAAGAAAAATGAAATACCATATTATTCAGAAATATGCATAAAATCTAAATAAATCAACATATATCGAAATATGAAATCTTTTACGCATATGTTATGGTAAGGAGTCAAACAAATTTTGAGAATATCTCCAAAACAAAAGTAGTGTCTTTTTTAATAAAAATAAAACATAAAAGCTTTCACATAAGCTAGAGGAGCATTTTCCCAAAAGGAGCTCTTTTTTTTGGGACTCTTGCTCGCTCAATGGTTTAAAAGTACCTTTTTGACCTAAAAATAATAATAGAATTATCAAACAACTATAGCATTATTTCTAACAACTTTAAAATAGCTTTAATATATCAATATGAATGTGAGAAGCGAAGTCCTATATTAGGAGGAATTATACCATGGTACTTACTTTTCTTGTGATAAAAAATCAATAGTGTTTTATTTATAAAATGCACTAAAATCACTTCCTTTTCTTCTCTACTCCTTTAGTGCATAAGAGAAAAATTAAGAGAGGAAAAATAGTTCCTCACTTAAGATTCTCTTAGTAGTATTTTTTTTTTTCCAAGAGAGGAAGTTATATTTTCTTGATAGGTTAGGTTTAAAGAGAGAGGAATTTCAATGTTCTTTCTTCTAGTAAACTTACATTATTGTCTATTGTCAATTTTGTTCCTCTTTTCATCTTTTATTTAAATATAATACCTAACACCTAGGACCTAATTCGGTCTTGTTGTGGTACACGATTCAAACAAACCGTTGTTGCTTGCTCCAACATTGAAGTTTAGAACCAAAGCTTGGCTCAAGCCGTTGCAGAGGTCACCTAGATTGAAATTTTTCTGTTTGAACTTCAGGTATCCCACACTGTCCCTACCACTCTATGTCCCTACCACTCTCTATGTTACACAGCTGCTGTCTCCCATAACCCAGTTCTTCATTCGTAAACCAAGGAGATGGAGGTCAACATTTTATCCCAAGTCGTCCCGCCCTTGATCAGTGTGCTGACATTCTCTTCGAAGCCCAATTTCCCTCAAGGAGTATAGTAACATTATTATTTTTCTTTTCAGTTCACTTCACTATACAGCTGCAGTTAATTGGTTAGTTAGAGCTTAGGGATTTTAAACCCTTTCACATAAATTCCTTCTGTATCATTGCTTTCAGTGGGTTTTTCTCTTTAAATAGTAGAGCAGAAAACTTCATTTATACTTTTCTGTCTAAATCTAATATTAGTATGTGAATGAATGATATTATTGTAACCGGTGATGATTGGAATCAACAAGTCTTAAGCCAAACTCTAGTAATGGAGTCTGAGATAAAAATTTGAGAGGCAAGTATTTTCTAGGAATTGAAGTGACTTGCTCCAAGAAAGGTATCTTCATATCTCAACAGAGATATGTTACAAACTTGTTGCTCCAAGATACAGAAAGACATCTTGTAAAATTGAAGTACCCTCATAGATTCAAACCTGAAATTTGGAAATGCAAATGATTGTGCAGCAGTGGATAAGGGGATTAATAAGTGTTTGGTTGGAAGATTAATCTATCTATTTCACACAACATTAATTATTGCATTTGTTGTAAGTTTAGTTACTCAATATATAATTAACTGACAATTTTACTTCCAGGCCACTAGAACACTACAATGTGTTGTGACACATTAATTATCTATGATGGGATACACTACAATGTGTTGTGACACTAATATTTATGTTACTAGGTTTTGTACGTAGAACCCTTTACTATAATATTAACACTCCTCTTCAAACTTGAAGAATAGATATTTCATGTCCAGTTAGACACAAATAAAATCATTTCACGCCACAGTTTCATCAGACAAGAATTACAAAATCCCATCTCCTTCAAGATCTGTCTTACCCATATTCATTCACAAGCTATTTGAGCCATAACCATGTATTATGCTTCTACACTAAATCTTGTCACCACCTTCTCACTTTGCCGAGAAACCAAATTCCCTCCCAAAAATACACTTGATCCTGTAGTAGATTTCTGGTCAAGAAAACTTGATAAAAGTAGCAGAACAACTTTGGACCAGATAACTATGTTATGATGATAAAAGTTGGTTAGCCGTTGTGAGTAGAGTTAGAGGACAGCTATATAAAGCTGATAATAACACTGTATTAGGCACACTTTTATTCAACGCATATTACTGTACACTTTTCTTCTAATAAGTTTCGCTCGGAATTCTGTTCTCAATTCCTTACCCCTTCAGTAACCTTCGTGTTCCATTACACCTAGTTACGTGATTCTTAACAATTGGTATCAGCCAAGTGATCTTGTGCGATTAGATGGCAGACTCAACCAGACAAGCAACAACTATGAAGAACATGGAAGAGTGTCTTCACTCACTTAGAATCAAGAATGATGGAGATTGTAGGAGCGATGCAATCAACGTTAACAAAAACTCTTAAAGATCAGTTTCAAGAAATGATCAAGATCCAGGTGGAAGAGAGAGAAGGCATGCATGGAAGCATGGGATCAAGAGGAAGTCGTAATTCCCAACCAACGTACTCTTACGATGCGATATTATCACGTATTGATTTTCCTCAATTTTCTGGTGAAGGTGTTACTCAATGAATACATCAATGCGAAAACTATTTCTTGATTGACAATACTCTTGACGATGTGCGTGTTAAGCTTCCAGTTATTCACTTGGAAGGTAAGCCTTACATTGGCACACAACTATGACCCATTCTGCATCATATTCACCGATGATGTCTTGGGACCAATATAAGGCACTATTAATAGACAGATTTGGATAGTTAGACGAAGACCCGATCGTGGAATTAATGAGGTTGCGGCAAACACGATGAGTTTGTGAATACCATGAAGAATTTGATGCAATAGTGATGAGGCTTATAAAATTCCACTCAAGAGCCCAAGAAAGGATGAAACACATGACGGACGCGCATAGGAGTGATCGGACATTTGAAATTGGAGATTATGTTTATGTGAAGCTTCATCCCTATCGTTAGGTCTCAGTTGAATTCAGAAAATATGCAAAACTTAGCCCGAAATTTTATGGCCCATTTAAAGTGTTGGATCGTATTGGAACAGTGGCTTACAAGCTAAGCTTACCAATCCATAGCAAGGATTTTGTGAAGGGACAGGAATTGCTATGATAATAAAAGTTGGTTAGCGGTTATGAGTAGAGTAGGACAGTTATATAAAGTTGACAATAACACTGAATCGGGGACATCCTTTCATTCAACGCATATTACTGTACACTTTTCTTCTAATAAGTTTTGTTCGGAATTCTGCTCTCAATTACCTACCCGTTCAGTAACCTTCGTGTTCCATTACACCTATTTACACGATTCTTAACAAACTAACTAAAAGTTGCAGGCGTGTTGGTTGACAAGAGGCACAACGACAATAATTTGTTGTATTAGTTGACAAATGATCCAAGGGGATTCACCAGGAGAGGTTTCGGACCCTAGGGCAAAAGAGTAGGATTGGAGTGATTCATAGGAAAAGAAAGTGAAAATCGTGGATTTGACTGCTCAGGTTAAAGACTCACTTGGTCTTGTGTTTTACCCCCTTAGAAATCCTGAAACAACACTGAAAGGTGCTTTTGTCCTTCAGCTCGAAAAACTAAAAGTGTCCCTGAAACCTGCTTTGGGAGTGATTTCAGCCAAAAATAGTGACATCATGGGCACTAAAGGTGCTCCGCGACGAGGTCCTCGAGGGGGGAGAGGGGGCCGGGAGGGCAGTGCACTCACCACTCCGCAATTTCAGAGCAATAACACACAATTGAAAACTATGTTAATGCCATTAACTATCTTAATAATATTCTATCAAAATAAAAAATAAGTCCATTCTTCTACTAGGTGGAAAAACTGATTCAAGCATGTTGAAAGTCCCACATCGCCTACCTCATATCATTTGATATGGTTTAAATACATGTTAGACTACTCCACATATAGCCAATTGGTTTTATGTTGGAACCTTAACATGGTATCAGAGCCAAAGCCTAACATCTTTCCGGTTATTATCATGGGCCAAAAGTTGCCCTTTAGTTGGGTCAAAAGTACCCTTTGCCTGGTCCGGCAGGCTTCTTTGGAGGGGGTGTGTTGAAAGTCCCACATCGCCTACCTCATATCATTTGATATGGTTTAAATACATGTTAGACTACTCCACATATAGCCAATTGGTTTTATGTTGGAACCTTAACAAAGCACATCCACAAAAAATAAAAACATTTTCTAGTTTTTTCAAAGTTGAGTGAAAAAAAACTTGGTATAATATTCTATTATATAACGAAAGTATATTCCAACATTGATATATTCATAGAATCTAGAGCAGTAATCCTTGTTTATACTGGTCATTATCGAACTAATTAGGGAAACAAATCATGATAGTAAAATATAGTAACCAATCCTAAAATAACCGGGAAATAGATTCACTAACCCTAGAAAAAAAATCTAAGATATGGTTCTGGATATTTACATTTAGTCAATTACTTACCAACATTGGAGCCCATATAACACAGATTAATACAAAGAAAAGGCATATCCCATTGCAGCATTTGGTCATTTTAGTTTGCTTCTCCCCCTGTTTGTGTGTAGCTCTATTCAAGACTGAATCACATTTGACAAGGTACAAACTTGCATTTATGTCCTCGAGCTATCAAAACGGAGGAAAAGATCTGTTAGTTTCTAAACCAGACAGGTTTTGGAAGTAACAAAAAGAAAAACAGTGAAACTAGACTTGTAAGCCCTTCCAAATGATTTTTCACAGGTACTTTCACAGAGAAAGTTAATCTTAAACGTGCTGCTAACACCAAAAATCAAATCAAACAGATGGCTTACTAATTTCCTAAAATGCATTTATATGCAGAATAATGAAAACAAATCCTAATTTCCCATCCTAAAACTAATTTGAAATGGCTTACTAATCTCTTAAAATGCATTCAAATGCAGAATAATGAAAACAAGTCCTAATTTCCCATCCCCAAAGTAAAAGTTTTATTCTCTTGTTTTAAAACAATTTAGGAATAGTGGCAGCCATCTCAAATTATATGCCTTTTCCAAATAAACAATATAGATTATATACTCCACAAAGTATTGCCTGTTTATTATAAAGACATGAAATTTTGATAAACCAGCATTTGTAGTTTTCTTTTTGTTCGTTTGGAATAGGTTGGTACTACAAAATATATAGTGATAACTACTTTCATCTCATGAAATTCTCAAGCACCGCCAATTTTTAAATTGAATGATTGGTGACAAAAGAACTTCACCTAATATGCACTAAACCAATACAGTTTTCATTGGAGAACAGTATTCACAATAATAGAATAGTACTAAAGATAAATTAATAAAAATTATAGTTTATCCAAGTTATTGACAAAAAAGTATCAAATAGGAAAATTTAACTTTCTGGATAAAAGATTGTGATTTTATATATGATAAATAAACATTTACACATACCTTTAGCCAGTCATACATGGTCAGGGATGTAGTTGTGCATGACCAGTCAAGAACACATCGTAATTCATAAAGGAATGGCAGTGCACGATAAAGTCTATATCCTAAATAATTAATTCTTGAAACTTCACTGGTCAAAAATTGCCTATACAATGTGCTTTTATTAGGAATGCCATATTGAATTTGTACAGCCTGCAGTCCTAGAGAAATAGCCTTAGCAAGAAATATGGCACGGAGAGCAAACTGAGCTGTACGTTGTTGGGATGGCTCCAATTGCCAATCATACTCTGTGACTGAATATGTGAAGAGAATGAGGTTGAAAATATAGAAAATCAATTTCCCCGTGGCAAATGAGCAGAGGTATATTATTCGATCAAGCACAATCAAGAAGAAGATAGCCTGAACAGAAGAAGTAACTCTTATTAAGAGTCTATATGACATGGCTACTCTAGCAGCACATATAAATGAAGTATGCAGTAAATCATCTGGTCATTCTAACTGTGTACCAGAAACATGTATGACCAATGTTTCTTACACATACCAATGATGAAATATAGTGATTCTCTTTCAAAGTGCTATAAATTTTAACCTTTCTATTTGGAAAACCAAAAGAAACAACATTGTTGAGAGGTTCCGACCAATTTCTTGGCAATGTAAACATCACGAACCAAGAATCCCAGAAGTTTAAGCTAGTAAGTGAAGAAACATATGAATGATTATATTACATGTTTAACATCCATAAGATGAACTAAAGTTATCTCATAAGTTAAAATCAACTTATTTACCTAATAGATGAGAGAGATTCTGTAAAAGCTTAAGTACGTGATGTTAACTTATGGAAAACTTTAATTCAGTTTATCTTAATGTGTTCTTTTATTATAAGTCCTTACAGTAAAAGTTATTGATCTAAACTGAAAATGATACAAAGGTGATGATCCTCTATTACAAAAGTCCTACACATAGGTCAAAGGATAATCACTTATAGGTTTCAGCTATAACAGACTGACAATAACAGTTATAACTGTCTAAGCAAAACAAGTAGACTATGTTTGTTGGAAACTATCACATCACCTGCCTCAATTTTTGTTTATATCTCTATTGGATAACTTCTCTTAATACCAATTAGTTTTAAGATGAAATGTAACATGGCGATCAAAACCTATATCTCATCTTAGTAAATCACCTATGTGGAGGGCATATTATCGGGAAGTTTAACATCACCTACCCCAATTCTCTGGGTGCTGCTTACAAATTTGTTGGGTGATATCACTTAATACCAATTGATTTTTGAGATGAAATTTAAGAGTCTATAAATAGAGCAAATGTGAAAATACAGAGAAAAATAACTCTAATACTTACCCTATATTTGGAATGAGGGAAAGACGGTGGAGAAGTCAAAAAAATGAAATTTGAACTTTTGTTGCTAGAAGGCAACATTTCATTTATTTTTTTCTTTCTACTTTCTCTTCAACCAAACAAAGGAAAACACAGTTATCTGTATTTTCCATTCTCTTTATTTTCAATCTTCCCAGTCAAAATACCATACCATTGTAGAGAAGTTGATTCAAACAAGAACATGATTTATTAATATACTAGGGAAAAACATTTACTGCACTGTTTAAATAATGGAAGGATATATTAAAAGTAAAAAGTACAGACATACCATCAACATAAAGACATATTCTTTTGGAAACTGGTCTTCAAGCTGATACACGTCGAGAAACTCACTTTTATTTTTTATGACAGACTGGTAGAAGATGGCAACAAGAAAGAATACAATCAAATCTGCACAAAATATGTAGGCATACAGATCAATTTCTCTCTTGCCTCCACCAGTTACAGAAAGAATACGGTAAGGGAATCCCACTTCTTCCACCAAACCAGAACGCTGAGCTTTGAGGATTTCCTTGGCGACATCAGCTGCTGGAGTTAAAGACTTATTCCATTCTGTGGAAGAGCTGTCAGTTACAGGCGAAGCATACACAACTTCAAAAACAACCAAGGCAACATTGGGTTTTTCTTGACTTCTTTCAATGCTTTGAACATTAACCCTACTAGAAAAAGAGCAATGATTTGAATTCTTTTCCTTGCAGTTATCTTTATGAACAATTCTGAGCACCTGGTTAATTCCAGATTCAATTCTCTCTGGTTGAATCCCATCCTCTGGCCAGAAGTTGACATCCATAGAAACCTGAACAAAATAAGGTGGTGATTCGGCTCCCTGTGTGAGTGATTTCCAGTACCTAAAAAAGCTTCTGATTACCAGTTTTACCATGTTAATCATCTGATTTAGCAGATTCAATGCTCTATCTCGCCAGTTATAACTAGTGGGATCATTTTTTGCATGAAGATCATTCCTCTTATACTTGAAGTCAGTGGAAGACATCCATTCATCATCTTTAGGTGTTATGGAGCTTTGAATGAGGGTAAATAAATACACAAGAAATAGAGGTAATGAACTGACAACAAATGAAGAAGTGATTTTGTTTATTGGAAAACCTAATTCTTGTAATAGGTAAGGATTAATAGTCAACCCACAGTGCTGGATGATAATTTGGTACAGGTACTGAAGTAAAATATAGAGTTCTGTATATATCAGCATGATAATCCAGAAGATGTAACTTGGACCTGTATGTACACATAAAGCATACAAAAAGAGAGCCCCGATATACACCATTGATAGCAAACTGAAATTCCATAAGAACACAAGAACAAAGGAACAGTAACATACAACATCATTATTGGAACGCATCTGATACCATATATAACGAAAGATTCTTCCCAGCTGCAGACTTGCACCATCAGAAGAACTCTTATCAGATTGCATAGATGAAGAACGATCCATATATATGTGCCGAGTTTTCTGACTCTCCATCTCATCATAGATCCTATCCTCAATGTTTGTGTGCTCATTTGAATCAAAATCTTCTTGTGAAATATTCAGAAAGCTCACTAAGTTATTGACTGCCTGATTTCCAATGAACTGTACCTGGGAAACACCATCACCTATCAATTGTACAGCAGACTTGAGAGGGTTCTCTTTTGGTTGCCCTTTAACTTTTTCCTTCTTTCCTGAATCACTAGAAGCTGTATCAATATCTATTTCAGTAATTTCACAATCAACTGAATGCTTCATGTACTCCTCCGTTAATGGAGTTTCCATATTTGTACAAGCAGATGGTTCGTGCAGGTCAATAGGATGAATAGAATCCTCTCTTATTGTATGATCTAATCTCCCCAGAACCTGGTCTTCTTTGTCAGGGATTCCAATGTCAATATTTGATGTGAGAGAAACACTCCTTCTCCTTCTCAGACCCTCACCACTGTGAGAAAATCCATCAATACAATTAGTGGATGTGTTCATGCTTTGGAGTTGTATTTGCAGGTTAAGCATTTCAGATTTCATCTTCTCCACCTGCAAATTACGCTGTCTTTTTTTCTCCTCACTTTCACGATTTTGTTGTAATTGTGCATTTTTCCATGCTGCTCTTTTCTCTTGTTCACGCACAATAGCCCCAATTTGCTCTGCTTCCAGGTAGCGACATACATAATCAAAATCTTGTGAGGAAAACATATAAGACTGAAGGGAGACAAGCACAAAAATGATAATCTCTACAATTGCAGATCTGGCTGTAATCCGAAAACCATAATCATATTTATAAAAACCAATCATTTCATAAATGTTATTCACTGTCTGACCCTTTCCAGCACCTGGTCCCCCAATAAAAGGAGACTGATAAGCAAGAGAAATTATAATAACAGTGAAGTTGTAAATGCGCAAGAACTTGAATAATCTGTTCTTCTTCTTCAGTATTTCAAATCTCATGCGAAAGAATACCAGAGCAAAGGCAAGATAACCAAGATGCAAAATGTCGTACTCAAGAGTTCCAGTTATCAATATTAATATCAGCACAAGATCAAGAAGATGGCAATAACAGTAAAGCCTCAAATAGTCAAGAAAGGTCCACATGCTTTTAGTTTCAAAAGATAGATCTCGCCAAACAAATGTGTTCCTACGTTGAGACATAATCTGACGATATGTTGATGATCCTGAAAAGCTAGGCAAGCGATCTGCACGAAGTTTGAAGCAAGCCAGCATGAATACCACAAAGTAGCTAATCAACATCCTGGGATCGTCAACAATAAGTCCTACAATAGAAAAGACAGTGAAATGAATAGGTCATTGAAGGTTTCAATGTGCAAATAATGTACTAAATATGAGAAATGTTATTTCTATAACAATTCATACAACAGTTTGTACATAATTTATCAATTGTCATATTGATGGAGTGAGATAAATAGATAAAATGATGTTGTATACATTCTGTGTACCACATCTCATGAAATAACAGGCCTCAATAACGACTGCCTTAAGGACTCTGGTTAAGGACATTATGTCAAATACATATACTATTTAAAACCAAATCTAGCATTCCCCTAAAATAATACATATTAAATACAGTGGTGGGAAGTTCCTGGGGAATATTAAGAACTGATGTCACTAATCACTAGTTTCAATCTGTACCAAAGAGGGCAATGCTCCATATAGGAAGAAAATGACTAGATATCTCAAGTATCTAAATAAAAGTAAAGAACCAATAGCCAAATCATAACAGCATGATCATAGACTTCTTCCATAGAAAGTGGAAATCACGGAAAGATAAGAGAGCCTCACCGAACCAACACTTTTCACAATAATGGAAATACAGAGTTGAAGTTTTCCAGCAGTCATGGCAACGAATCTCATCTGAAGCATGAGAATTCAAAGGTTTCATATCCTTCCAGATTGCTAAGTATTCCAGGACGAGAATGGAAGCAAACAAAAAGACAAATATAGGCCACACTTTGCGTACAATTTTCCGATTCAGAAGAATACAAGCAGCAAGCAGTGCAATGTACAGCATGGATAAGGCATTCAACAAGGCAAAGCTTACCAGAAGTAATGATATCATGTTTATCTCAAGTCCAAATAAATTAAATATATTCTCAATCCAAAACTTCAAATATATTTTTAAGACAGTTTTCTGTGTTTCAAATCGCTCCTTTCTCAAAGAAACAATCCGTTTCTTGTTCCACTTGTGACTCTCCTTGGAACTTCCCCAAATAAACCCAAATGAATATCTTTTACAGTTACTGTCAGAATCTCCTGCTTTAGAGGATGGAGTATCAGGTGTTTGAGAAAGACCAGAGGTACTAATTTGCAGTGACTTGTCTGACACCTCTTCTTTTACTGCAGATGGAGCATGTGAATTATATGATGGTTTACTTTCCTCATTGCACATAGCATCATCAATGAATGCATCTTCTGAGGGAACAAACAAAGGACAAGGTTCTTCCCATTGTCCTCTGCTAAGAACTTCATTTGGCATCCTCTCCAGCCAACGGAAGACATTGTATTGAAGTGTACAAGCCACAATCACAAGCACTTTTGCCCTCAATCCATATTCTAGACCCCAAAAGCTAGGCAGGAACACATGGAATCCCAAAAAGAGAGATATATCAGAATACTTCTGCCCAGGAAACATTTTAGCCTCTTCGCCCAACAACTGAAAAAGATATTCAGCTGTCACCAGAAAACCTGTGTAAGCTAAGAATGATTTGGATGGGATAGTTGAAGTTTTTGGTAAAATGGAGCAGATGACGAGGCCAATCAAATACAAGAAACCAAATGCACTAATTGGGTTTAAAGATGCATAAAACAGAGCAATGAACAAGATCTTCTGGCTGTGCCAGATAATAAATCTCCTGATAAACCCTAGTGCCCCTGGCTCTAACTGATCCAAGTGATCCTGCCTGTTCTGCTTGTTCTGCCTCCTCTCGTAGCTATAAAGTTGCATAGCAATTAAGACTGCCAGAGATTCCCAAACATTGTCAAAAGAAGATGCTTTCGAGTCATATCCCATATAAAAGTAGAGATCTATTAATTTGGATAACCACATCTCTAGGCTTGAGAAGCTGCACAAGCTATAGATGAAAATAAACACCAAAATTGCATACAGTTTCAATGGAAACCAAAGCTGTCTTTTTGTTCTCTCAACAAGTTGTCTTCCAATAATCCAAAGAAGGAGAAGGAATACATAACCAAATGATATGTAATTAGGTCTCACCATGTATACAGAGAGAATAATAGTCAGAAAAGCAATGTAAGTACCACACGATCGGTATATAGATAGGAACTTCTGCCCAATTGAACTCAGGTATGATGCTATTCTTCTTTCTGTCAAATAAAATATGATGATGAGGAATCAGGACTACAATAAATAAGACAGTCTCTGAACAAATTACAGTACAAAGACTTGTTTTTTACAAATAGTAGGAGTATATATATGTTCAGCACTAAAAGCATCCTAACCAGATCTTACTAATCAAAAAAATTTCATCATCCAAGCAGAGCCTGTGAGGGATCAATAGAGTCCTAGAGAATAACTAATATAACTTGTATGCCTAACAATTTTCTTCTATTAATATCCAGATATAATGCTCAAGATAATTAGTATACCAACCACCATGAAGTAACACAACTAATTACACACTATGACTACAAAATCTAAAATGTATTTCAGAACAGAAGCACCATAAATGTTTTTGAAATTACCATGACAGAAACTTTCATCACTGTTTCTCACAGAGGAGGAAGAATATACAGATAATAGAACAGATTTGTTAAGACCAGCTTTCAAGATGCCAAATCCAATAGGCGGGCTAGGGGCATGCTGTATGATTGCTGAAAATGAAAATAACATCTCAAAACCGTAGTTATGAATTGCACAGAAGCATGCAAGTAAAGCTACTTCCAAGAAATCCCAGGCACTATCTTCTTCACGGAGACCTACAGCAATCCATAGAACATGCGGTAATTCTCCCATTTCCTTGTCAATTAATAAGTGGGAAAGTATATGGATATGGAATTGATATAATTTCAAAAGTATAAACAAACTAAAATCCATTACATACCTAATTGCATTACAACTTCCATACTAAAAGAGCCCTTTTTCTCCAGTGCAGTTGAGATCAAATTAATTTGAAGAACATACAACAGTGAAAAATGAATCTCACATAGGAGAATCAGAGCCTGTCTTATCTTTCGACTGACATTGTGACTCAAAAGGTACATCAGAAAGAATATCACTGAAGAAAAGACAGAATAGAAGCTAATCAATAAACTAGCATAGGATATGGTCACACAATAAACTCAATTCTACAACTCAATTAATGGCTCACAAGAAACGAGGTACATGACCCCAAATTATTTAAATGCATTCAATGCAAAATGCACATAAAATGATATGAATACACATACTATATACAGCATGGATGAAACCAGGTTTTATAGCAATGAGAAAGATCAACGCCAGCATGATAGGTCGAGAGCATTTTCGCAGTCCCCATGCTATTGTTGCAACAATCAATACCTTAGTCTCTCCCTCCACTGTAGATAAGAAAGATGGGATGGCATAAGAGAAAAAGCAACTGTAGTATGAAAGAGTATGAAAGACAACCAAAATCTTTTGGGGTGATTAAGACAACCAAAATTCAAGAGTATGAAAGAACAACAAAACAAACAACAACAATAATAATTCTGGAAAAATAGATTAACTGAAATATGATTTTTTTATTATTTCAATACAAAGAGATGATATAAGATATATACAGGAGACCTAAGCTATTTTAGGAAATATAATAACTCTATTTTATGCTAGGATCCCTTGATTTATGAGATTGTTCCTAATTATTCAAATCTGTACAGATTACAAGGAAATATACAAATTTCCTGATTTATTCTTTCCTAAAATACTATTTGATTTCCCACACTCCCCCTCAAGCTGGTGAATAGATGTTTTCCATTCCCAGCTTGGATACAATCTTCTCAAAATTATGGCAGCCCAGTCCCTTGGTAAGAATGTCGGCAATTTGGTCTTGAGAGGACACATATGGAGTGCATATCAAGCCACTATCAAGCTTTTCTTTGATGAAGTGTCTGTCTTCTTCAATATGCTTTGTTCTATCATGCTTGCACTTGGGTTGTGGGCTATACTTGATTGCTGACTTATTATCACAATAGAGCTTCATAGGTTCTTCCCAATTTATCCTCAAGTCTTCTAAGATGATTTTAAGCCATAGCAACTCACATAACATAAACTTGTCCTCCTTTCCTTGAGGAGCCTCCTTTGTGTCCCCCTTCTCGATCTCGGTTTAAAGGCTTCCTATGTAACTTCCAACACTTCTCTCGGGTATGACGAGGTTTATTGCGATAGGTACACCAGAGACCATCACCTTTCTTCTCCACATTTGCTTGATCCTCCTTTCTTCCGTTCGGTTACCATGGCCAAAGTTTGATCTCCTTTATGGTCCAAGTCTTGAGTTCTCTCTTGCTGGACTCTCTAACATGAGACCCCTTCTACTTTCTTCACTTCTCACAATAGCCACCACTTCATTGAGGCATGGTACCTTTTGCTTCCCCAATATTTGAATCCTAACTTGATCAAATTCGGGATTCAAACCAACAAGGAAATCATAAACTCTGTCTTGTTTGATATACTCCTTGAGAAGTGCTTGAATCTTCGATACATTTGGCTTTTATGACTCTATAATGGTCTAGCTCCATCCACAATGATTTCAGTGATTGGCATATTCATAGTGAGTCTTGTTCCCTTGTTTTGTTGCCAAAGTTTTCACCTTTACTTCATATATTTGAGCGGCATCTTTGGCTTTAGAGTAGGTTTGCTCTACAGACATCCCAAATATCTTTTGCCGAATTAAGGAACATGCGGGTGTCGCGATTTCGGAATCATTGAATTCCACGACCACGCCATGATCATTGAATCTTCTTCATCCCATGTAGTAAACTTGGGATCCTCCTGTTTAGGTCCGGACTCCATCGGGTGACTCAACTTCCCCTTTCCCTTCAACACTTGTACGAACAAGTTGGGCCCACTTCAAATAATTTCTTCCATTTAGTCTATATGCGGAATGAATATTCTGCGGTTCTCAGATTGCTTGGGATTGGGTATTCCACTGTTTCGGGTTTGGATTCGCAACTTCCTCTTCCCTTGACATCATAGCAAGGAGGTGTGATGCAACAGCAATGCAGGCTGTCGTCTTAGGATTAAGAAAAATGCAGCAGCAATGTAGACTGCCATCTTAGGGTTAAGAAAAATGCAGCAGCAATGCAGGCTGTCGTCTTAGGGTTAAGAAATATGCAGCAGCAATGTAGGCTGCCGTCTTAGGATTACGAAAAATGCAGCAGCAATGTAGGCTACCGTCTTAGGGTTAAGAAAAATGCAGCAGCAATGTAGGCTGCCGTCTTAGGGTTAAGAAAAAATGCAGCAGCAATGCAGGCTGCCGTCTTAGGGTTAAGAAATATGCAGCAGTAATGCATGCTGCTGGCTTAGGGTTAAGAAATATGCAGCAGCAATGTAGGTTGTCGTCTTAGGGTTAAGAAAAATGCAGCAGCAATGCAGGCTGCCGTCTTAGGGTTTATCGCACGCAGACATAGCTTCCTAGATCGGAAGCTCTGATACCATGTTAAGGTTCCAATATAAAACCAATTGGCAATATGTGGAGTAGCCTAACATGTATTTAAACCATACCAAATGATATGAGGTAGGCGATGTGGGACTTTCAACACACCCCCTCCAACGAAGCCTGCCGGACCAGGCAAAGGGTACTTTTGACCCAACTAAAGGGCAACTTTTGGCCCATGACAATAACCGGAAAGATGTTAGGCTTTGGCTCTGATACCATCTGGAAAAATAGATTAACTGAAATATGATTTTTTTATTATTTCAATACAAAGAGATGATATAAGATATATACAGGAGACCTAAGCTATTTTAGGAAATATAATAACTCTATTTTATGCTAGGATCCCTTGATTTATGAGATTGTTCCTAATTATTCAAATCTGTACCTGATTTATTCTTTCCTAAAATACTATTTGATTTCCCACAATAATAATAAAAATGAAACTGATGGGAACTTATGTCTCTATGATAAATTACTTCAATGAATTGAACTCTGCACATTAGGTTTATAAGCAAATATTTGGCCATTCCAAATGATTATCAGAGGAGTTAAGCTTATTCCATTCCAAAAAAGAAAATGAACATCCATACTCCATTGTATATGGGAATATATAGTCGAAAATAAAAAGGGTAAGATCTTATGTGGCTGTATATAACACTAAATCAGGTTTGTTAAATTTTCATGTAACAGTATGACAAGATTGTAATTGATTACCTTTCACAGAGGAATAGTCATTTGAAGATTGCCCACCCTCATCAGACAAGCAAAGGAAAACTGAATTGTTCACAAGATTACCTAATGCAACCAAAATTCCAAGACAAAATTGTGCTAGTAAAAAAAATCCAGGTATTGGATAGTGCCATAGTCCTACCATCTCCCAAATTTTCATGTCCTGTAAATAAGTATGGAAAAATTTACAAATAGTTGAAGTACGTTTGATCATCAGTTATTAATTTTTCACCTTAAAAGATTACCCGTCCAAGTTTCCAATTCAGAAATGAAAAAGCCACGTTAAATATATAAGTGCTGACAGCCCACAAGAGAATGAAGACAAGAAGCAGCCCATTCAATCTGTGCAGACGAAATAAGGAAGGAAAGGCATAAACAATGTATCCGACATAAGCAAGTAGCCCAAATGCACATAAGCTTGCAAAATGGAAGCTCCAAAAGGAAAGGGCAAGCAAGGAGACCTGCAAAATAAAATTAATCTGGGGACATCAATAAACAAACAATTTGGTATCATGTATATTAAATGCATATGAAACTGGAAATAAGAAGTCGCAAATGCATCAACAGAGATGACAATGGGTCCTATACCCACTCTAAATGCATATGAAACTGGAAATAAGTAGTCGCAAATGCATCAACAGAGATGACAATGGGTCCTATACCCATTCGACATATACAATGAGTACTGTTGAGTTATGAAAAGACATTATTAAATATTGTAGATGGTAGAGCTCTTATGAATTATATAGTAGGTGGCAGAAGTCTCTATATAATATACTTCCTTGTACTGTTAGAATTAAGAAATTAGAACCAGAATCAATATTTTCTTCCCTAACCTTTTTCAAGTTGGTATAAAAGCTCCTAATCTTTGCAGCTTTGTTTCCACATTCAAATCCAGCGCCACCTTAGTTCCAATTTCTCCTCTTTTTTTTTTGGACTGCCCAAGTGCCTCCACCTTACTTATTGTGGTGGCTTGAGGTTCTCCCACTGCTATTCCAACCACATCATGCTGCCATTTGTTCTGCCCATATCATCTTGAAAGGGCTGTTCCAAATATGTTGTTGCTTGATCCATTTGCATTGTTGAGACACTGTTCTTACTGTAGGGGGCACTATTCATATATTCTTGCATGGCTACTGACGTCCCATTTCCCCCATTCAGCAATGTTGATATTTTGCATATGCCCAAATATAATCGTCTCACTTGTAGAAACTACCTTTAGTGGCCCAATCATCTGATGCACATTTAAGGGTAAGAGAAGGCTTAACCTTACTGAAGGGGAAGTTGTAACCACGGATAACCCTAACTTCCAAAGTTAGGACAATGATGACTCTCAAATCTTAAGATGACTATGGGGTCCATGACTTCAGATTAGTTGGAACTACATGTTTCACTCCACCGCCCAAGAAATATGGGCACACCAAGGAAACTTGATTCAAGCTATATGGAAAGGAGAAGACTCCATTTGAATGGAAAAACTAAAGAAACAATCCTCAAAGAAAGTTCATCACGCGATTTCTAATTTTAAAGGCTATGGCAAGGCATCTTCATCCTCATCTAATAAAAAAGGAGTGTCTACCCCTTACAAGTCGGTTTTGTAGAGTTGAGTTAAGTATATTTTTATTTCTAGTATGGTATCAGAACCAATCCTAGCTACATATGTAAGTCTATCACTCCACTCGTTATCAGATCGCTATCAGACCACCATTAATATTTTGATGTTCATTCTTCAATGTGTATGTGAGTGTGTTGGAGATCCCACATCTACTAGAGAAATGACCAACCTATAATATATAATGAGGTGCAAATCTCACCATAAAAGTTGATTATGTAAAGTTTAGCACCTCTCCATTTCTAATATGGTATCAAAGCCTAAAAAATCAACTTGTAAGATGAGAATTGGACCTTAAGTATATTATAATTGGACCATATCTCTAGTCGATAAAGGATTTCTAACAATATGATATATACACAATTTGAAAAATCTATCACATGTTTGCGTCCTAATAATGGCAAAATATGAGTAAACCAAGACATGGCCTGATTCCTTTATGAAAATAGTATTTTTCTTGAACTCACATGGATACTCCCCCAAAAAATGGGATTGCTTAAAAGAAAAATAGACATCTACTTCAGGTGACTAAGGCCCTTCTCTTTTAAATGTTTGTGCCTAAGTCTTACTGGGGGAGGTTGTACGCCTTGTTGCTTACCTCATTAATAAATTACTCCACATTTATTCTCAATGGTCTTAGTTCAATTAAATCTCTATCATCTATTTTTCTATTTGTTCCTTTTATGTCCAACATTCAAAGTTGTGTTTTTGGTTGTGTTCCATTTGGAATGTTTATAGGAAATTAGATCCTAGATAATTTAAATGCATATCCATTGGTTATGCTTTCGATAACAAGGAATATCATTGTTATCATTTTCTATGTCCAAAACTTATACTTGTATTGATTCCCCTTTCATGAAACAACACTTTATTGAGTCCTCAGCTTTAGGGAGAGATTTATGGAAGCTAAGTTGTTTTAGTCTCATGAGTCGTCCTTTGTCCCCTTGGTGCACAAATCTTCATTGACCCATAGTAATGTTGACCCTAATTCATCATGCAAGAATATTTCTGAGACTTCTGCTAAGGGCATTTTTGCTTTTTGATCAAGATCAACACCAGATACTAGTCATCTAGAGGGTCTCTTTTGTATATCAAAGGAGACCATGAAATCTAATGTTGGAAATCCCACGTTAACAATAAATATGACCAAATTATAGTATATAAGTGGAGTGTAAACCCCACTTTACAAGTCGGTTTTGTAGGATTGAATAAGGACCATTATATCATTACAAAACAAGGTTAGTTGCAAAAGGATATACTCAAACCTTTGGTTTTGACAATGAGGAGACATTCCCTTCAACCAAAAAAATGAATATAATCAATATCATCCTCTCATTTGTTGAAAACTGCAATGATTTTATGTGAAAAATGTATGTATGCATGGGAATCTAGAGGAAGAAGTCTACATGGAATTCTCATTTCAAGTTTTATCTATTGAAGGGAGATACAATGTGTGTAAATTAATAAAAGCCTTGTATAGACTCAAGCAAGGACCATGCTTGGTTTGGGAGACTTGATCAGACTATGTTTTCCTTGAGATACCGACAAATAATTATAATCTACTTGCTTAAGATGATAAATTACAGGTATATATAAAATAAAATAATATTATTGTACATTTGATCTCCCAAAATAATACTATTCTATCAAAAAACTATTAAAAGATAAGATGACAAATTATTTATTAAATACTTTTATTTTAATTAAATAAAATTATAAATTATACAAAATTATTTATTAACTAATATAAATTTATCATTAAAGTTAAATAAATTATAGATGTCAATGCTCAGATAATTTAAAACAAAATATTCTCCTATTATAGTTAGTCGTGTAATTCATCCTAGCAAAAACATAACTATTGAGTGAACAATTTGGCCTCTTTCACAGACTTAAAATGGGGAATCTTTTAACACCATAACTAGCACCTTGGGCACTGTAGCTATACCAAGTTCACCTCATAATATTCATCCAATGCTTACAAGACCTAAAGCTCAATTAGAAAGGTTGCAGACCCTCACCCATTTCTCTCATAATTCCAGGAGATCCTCATACTATAAAGGAAGCCCTCAAAGTTCTTGAATGGCATGCTGCTATGCAGTCTGAATATGATGTACTGATGAATAATAAAACCTTGACTCTTGTTCTTTTACCTCCAAACAGGGAGGCCATTGGATGTTAATGAATCTTTCAAATAAAGAAAATCCATATGGGACTATACATAAGTACAAAGCTGGCTTTGACAAAACAGATACTCTTTTACCAGTTATTAAACCAACTGCTATTAGGCTTATTCTAACTCCTGACCCTCTCATATCCTATCGTTTGCATCTCAGGCAGCTTGATGTTAACAATACAATCTTAAATGGCATTCTTGCAACAACCTGAGGCTTGAAAACACTAACAAGTCTACATGGTTTAAAACTGGCACCTATAGCCTGGGTTGAAAACCTCAAGTCTATCTACTTTTATCACCATTGGGTTCACAGCCAGAAAATGTGACCAAACTCTCTTTGTTTACACTGATAAATTTAACACTGTTGAAGTATTTATTAGATTAAATGTATCTTGTTGGACATTTATGAGATTAGTTGTAGATCTAGTTCCTAGAATGCATCTGTTTATCTTCTCTAGGATTAATCATGTCTCTCTATTAATTGTATATCTGAATCTGTATTTTTATCTCCTATAAATAAGAGAACACAAGAAGATGATTTAAGGCTCTCAAAATCAGTTCTTTATTTTCTTTTTTCTATTTCAAGTTGGTATCAGAGCGGGTTCATCCCGCTCTTCCTGTCTCTGTTTTTTTCTGGCATTAATCGCCGTCCGCTGCCGTCCGCCGCCGGTGTTGTCTTCTCCGGCGCCTTTTTCCTCTCTGATACTTGGGTTTGGCTCGCCTCGAGGAGCGCGACCCAACCCCAGTGTTCGCTTCCTCTATCTCTGCCTCACGCGCCGCCACGCGCCACCCTCGTCCGCGGCTTCCTTCGCGCGTGGGCCTCACGCGCCGCCCTCTCGGTGGCCGTTTTGCTCCGAGCCACCTCTATCCGGCTCGCCTCGTCGCCCGGTGTCGGATCCGCACTTTGTTTTGTGTTCTCGGTCACAAAACGTGGTGGGTCTCGCGTTTTCTCTCTGCCTCTCTCGGTCCTCTCTCCGACAGCGACGCTGGTCCCTTCTCGTTTCCTGGAAAATGTCGGGATCTCGTGTCCGTATCTTTTTCGGGACTCCGACTATAACCACGTAAAAATTAAATGGGAAAAATTATTTGTCTTGGGCTTCCTCTCGTTGAACTCTGGTTTCTAGGTCAAGGAGTTCATGATCATCTAGAAGAAGATGGAAGTACTATACCAGCAGACCAGGCTCCTCAATGGAAGAAACTGGATTATCAACTTTGTGCACTATTATGGCAATCTGTTGAACCACATATTTTGAGCACTCTTCGAGCCTTCAAGACATGTAATTCTTTTTGGAAAAAGGCTCAAAATATCTTTGCTAACGATATTCAACGACTTTATGATTCTGCTAATAGACTAGCCTCCCTTAAGCAAGAGGATAATTTCATGATGTCCTTTGTTGCTGAAGCTCAGTCAGCTGTTGAAGAATTAAAAATGTTCCTGGAGGCAGAATCATTAGAAGAAAGGAAGACGAAGCTGGATAAACTCTATATGGTAATGATTCTTAGGGCTATGAATCCAGAGTTTAATCATGTTAGAGACCAGATTCTAACTGGAGAAGAAGTTCCTTCTACGAAGAGTTTAATCACAAGGCTACTTCGTGTTCCTTCTATCAAAAGCAAAAACAGTCAGGAACTTGCTGATTCTTCCGCCATGATTTCTGCTCGTGGAAGAGGTAATCACAGCTCTAGAAGACGTGGTGGGAAAGGACGTCCTGAGTGCTCTCATTGCAAAAGAATGGGACATACTAAGGAAAACTGCTTTGCTCTTCACGGCTTTCTTGATAAGGCAGCTAATACCTCAAAATCTGAAGTTGATGAGCCCAAGTTCTCTCATGAAGAGTATCAAGAATATTTAAGGATGAAATCAACTAATTTGGCTCAAGCATCTACAACACCAAATTCGTCAACCACTTGCATTTCGCAATCTGTGGAAAGTCAAAATCCATGGATTATTGACTCAGGTGCTTCTGACCACATGTCTGGTAATACCTCTTTATTTTCCTCTCTTTCATTTCCTAAAACATCCCATCTCATATCTTTAGCTAATGGATCTAAAGTAGCATCTAAAGGAATTGGTCAAGTATCCATCTCTTCTTCTTTAAACCTTCAAAATGTTCTTTGTGTTCCTTCTTTTCCATTCAGTCTTGTTTCTGTAAGCCAATTAACCAAATCATTGAATTGTTCAGTAACCTTTAATGCCAATTGTTTTGTTACCCAGGAACGTGGTACGGGTCGACTGATTGGAGAAGGACATGAATCTGGAGGCTTATACTACCTTAGGACTAAGTCATCCGTATCTTGTGTTGCGTCTTTATCCCCAAAACTGTTACATGAGCGATTAGGGCATCCTCATTTAGCAAAATTGAAAAAAATGGTTCCTGAACTTCGAACCTTCAAACTCTTGAATGTGAATCCTGTCAACTAGGGAAACATACCAGGTCATCCTTTCCAAATCATTCTGAATCTAGATGTGATTCTCGCTTTTAGTATTGTTCATTCGGATATATGGGGACCTAGTCGTGTTTCATCTTTTGGTTTTAGATATTTTGTTACTTTTATTGATGGGTTTTCTAGATGTACTTGGGTTTATCTTATGAAAGATCGTTCCGAACTATTGTCTATCTTTAAGTCTTTCCTTAATGAAATCAAAACTCAATTTGGAAAAGTAATCAAAGTTTTACGAAGTGATAATGCCAAAGAGTACTTTTCTAATGATTTTTCTAATGTCCTAAATTCTCAAGGCATTTTACACCGATCCACGTGTCCTCACACACCACAACGAAATGGTATAGCGAACGAAAAAATAGACATTTGGTTGAAACTGCTCGTACCTTATTACTGGGTGCCAATATGCCTATTCATCATTGGGGAGATGCTATTCTAACCGCATGCTTTCTCATTAATAGAATGTCATCTTCTTCTCTTGATAATAAAGTTCCACACTCTATTCTATTTCCAAAGGAACCAATTTTTCATGTTTCTCCTAGGGTATTTGGATGTATATGTTTTGTTCATGACATGTCTCCTGGTTTAGATAAACTCTTACCTAGAGCTATCAAATGTGTCTTCTTGGGGTATTCTCGTCTTCAAAAAGGATATCGGTGTTATTCTCCCGAAACCAAGAGGTACTACATGTCTGCTAATGTCACCTTTTTTGAATCATCATCCTTCTTCCCTTATTCTATGCGAGGATATTGATTCTCGTCCAAAATGTGCTTCCTGTTCCCTTAGTTGAATCGAGTTGTACCTCCTATTTCCGACCAAAATACTCTAGAATCAAGCATCACGACCTATCATCACCTATCAACGCAGGAACCAGGTGAACAATCCCATTCCCCAAGATGAGCCATCCATAACAGGTCCTTCACCATCATCCTCTAATACCACGGCTCCTGATAACGATGAATCCAGTTGGCCCATTGCCATTCGCAAAGGTACTCGTTCTACTCGTAATCCTCATCCCATTTACAATTTTCTTAGTTATCATAGATTGTCTCCTTCCTATTGTTCTTTTATTTTCTCTGTCTCCTCTATTACAATTCCCAAAAATGTGGTCGAAGCGCTTGATCATCCTGGATGGCGACAAGCCATGATTTCCGAAATGCAGGCTCTTGATCACGACAAAACTTGGGAGCTTGTTCCTCTCCCTTCGGAAAGAAAACAGTTGGTTGTCGTTGGATCTATGCTATTAAAGTTGGGCCCAATGGTCAGGTTGATCGTCTTAAAGCAAGGTTAGTGGCTAAAGGGTATTCTCAAATATATGGACTTGATTATTGTGATACTTTTTCTCCAGTAGCCAAAATGACCACTGTCTGCCTGTTCCTTGCCATGGCCGCCATTCGTCATTGGCATCTTCATCAATTGGATATTAAAAATGCTTTTTTGCACGGTGACCTAGAAGAAGAAGTTTACATGGAGCAACCTCCTGGATTTGTTGCTCAGGGGGAGTCTGGTTTGGTTTGTAAATTACGTCGATCCCTCTATGGCCTAAAACAATCTCCACGGGCTTGGTTTGGAAAATTCAGCTCTATTGTTCAAGCTTTTGGATTAAAACGTAGTGAAGCAGATCATTCAGTGTTTTATTGTCACACTGCCCCTGGCAAACATGTTTATTTAATTGTGTACGTTGATGATATTGTCATCACAGGGAATGATGCTGCTAAAATATCTCAGTTAAAAGAGCACTTGAGTAGTCATTTTCAGACCAAGGATCTTGGAAATCTAATATATTTCTTGGGTATTGAAGTAGCTCAATCAAGAGAAGGTATTGTCATCTCTCAAAGGAAGTATGCTCTAGATATTCTAAAAGAGACAGGTATGATTGATTGCAAACCTGTGGACAGTCCTATGGATCCAAATTTGAAGTTAATGGCAGGACAGGGTGAAGTTTTCTCTGACCCAGAAAGATATAGAAGACTGGTTGGGAAACTTATTTATTTGACGATTACTAGACCTGATTTGTCTTTTGCAGTTGGTGTTGTCAGCCAATTTATGCAAGCTCCTTGTGTGGATCATTGGAATGCTATCATTCGAATCTTAAGATACATTAAAAAAGCTCCAGGACAAGGATTATTATATGAAGACAAGGGAAATACCCAAATTTTTGGGTACTGTGATGCTTGACTAGGCTGGATCTCCTATGGATAGGCGTTCCACTACGGGCTATTGTGTTTTCATTGGAGGAAATATCATTTCATGGAAAAGCAAAAAGCAAAACGTTGTTGCCCGATCCTCTGCTGAAGTCTGAATATAGGGCAATGGCGTCTCTTACTTGTGAACTTGTTTGGGTAAAACAATTCTTGCAAGAATTGAACTTCGTGAGATTCAATCTATGAAGATGTATTGTGATAATCAAGTCTGCTCTTCACATTGCTTCCAACCCGAGTATTTCATGAGAGGACCAAGCATATTGAGATTGACTGTCATTTTATTCGGGAGAAATTGTTGACTAAAGAAATTTGTACTGAGTTTGTTGGTTCCAATGAGCAGCTTGCAGATGCATTAACAAAATCTTTGAGAGGACCTCGAATGGAATTCATTTGTTCCAAGCTTGGTACATTCAATTTGTATGCTCCAGCTTGAGGGGGAGTGTTGAAGTATTTATTAGATTAAATGTATCTTGTTGGACATTTATGAGATTAGTTGTAGATCTAGTTCCTAGAATGCATCTGTTTATCTTCTCTAGGATTAATCATGTCTCTCTATTAATTGTATCTCTGAATCTGTATTTTTATCTCCTATAAATAAGAGAACACAAGAAGATGATTTCAGGCTCTCAAAATCAATTCTTTATTTTCTTTTTTCTATTTCAAGTAACACCATTTACTTTTGTGTATATTGATGGTATCATAGTAACAGGCAGTTCATTGCAACTCATTCAATCTCTCATCAACAAGCTTCACAACCATTTTGCCTTGACGCAACTTGGTAACTTAATATTTTCGTGGCACTGAAATCAAACATTTGTCTGACAATTACCTTCTCTCTCAGTCCAAATACATCAGAAGATATTCTTCGTAAAGAAAATATGCCTGGAGAAAAATGTACTTCCTCTTCTATGGTTGGGGTTCTTAAGCTATCAAAACAACTGATTATTTTACGGATCCTTCTCTATACAGAACAAGAGTAGGCTCTCTCCAGCATGCCCCTATCACTCATCCAAAAATATCCTTCTCTGCTAACAGGGTATGTCATTCATACGAGCACACCTAGAATCTCATTGGATTGCAGTCAAGCTATTATGGTCTCTTGATACAACCTGCTTCACCAACCTTCCTTTTACAACTAACTGCCTTTTCAGATGCAGATTGGGCCTTAGATCAAGATGACAGACGCTCTACTTCAGGGTCATGTATCCTTTTTGGCCTGAACCTCGTATCATGGTGGTCTAAGACAGTCTACTGTAAGCATGGTCCAACATTGAAGATAAGTACTGCAGTCTGGCAGCTAACGCTACTGAAGTTTTATGGATTCAAACATTACCAAGGGAGTTAAAAGAGCCAATTTCAGTCCCTACTATATACTGCGTACAGTTTCTCTTTCACATAATTCAATTATTCATACTCTAACCAACCATATGGAGCTGGATATATTCTTCCTTCGCAAGAACGTCATTAACAACACTTTAAAATATCTGCATATCCCTTCTGATTAACAATATGTCGATGTCCTCACCAAATCTCTTTCTCATACAAGCTTACAGTTTTGAAGAGACAAGCTGAAAGTGACTTCTGCAGAGTCACCTTAAGCTTGAGGGGGATGTTAGAATAATAGTCATTAGAGTTGATGGTAAAACATCCTTTGTATGTTTGTATTTCTTAATCAGTTAGTTAGTTCAGTTACTCATTTTTATTAGTTGTAAATGTTAGTAGTTGATGTTAGTTAGTTAGTGTCCTGATACATTGACTCTAGACAGTCTTCTTTTATATAAATACCTTTGTACTCTTCTACGGTTCAATAAATAAAATATTACAGATTCAGTTTACTTTTCCCAGTTTATTTTTTATTTAGAACCAGTAGAACTTTAAACTATGGACTGGATGAATAAAATGGATTGTTTTACAATCCCTAATAAATATATACAAAAATATGTTGTCATTTGGCATCTTTTAGTGTATATGAATGCAATTTTCTGTTAAAAGTTAACTTTAATTACGCTATAAATGCATAACAATGAAGGAAATTATTAAAAATGGAGTCACAACTCTAGGATCATTCATCATTGAAGCAGAAAGCAGATTATAACATGTTTTGAGAATATATACCGGGAAACCATACGTGAAAAAGTTGATACTAAAAGTCCGGAAAACAGCTCCTCTGAGTAAAACATTTGTGTGCCTCACACCAGATCTGCACATTTAATAAAGGCACTCAGCAAAATTTAAAGCCAAAATCCACATTCCCAAGAAAATCTGGAAACAAAAAGTGAACTGTAAAGTAAAAATATCATTTTCTTAAAATAAGCACAATTGATACATTATAGGAAAGATACTAAAGAAGAAAAAACTAGTGTTTTATTTCTTAATTCAAAATAATACAAGGATGTTCTATTTCTAGAGTACTCCAAAGACCTCAACTTCCCTAGTTATAACAACAACACTTCAACTACCCAACACCTTAACTACTCTATTAATAATTACAACACCTCAACTACCCTATTAATAAATAATACTACTCTTGTAAATCAAATAAAATATTCTCGAAACTCAACACATCCCCCGAAGATAGTGAATGGATATCAATCATTCCTAGATTGCATGTAAGATCAATGAAAACATTCTAAGGGGAGTCCATTTGTAAATATGATTACAAGCTGCAGTCCAGATGGGATGTAAGAAGTAGTTATAGGTCAGTATCTAGTTTTTCTTTGATAAAGTGTTGATCAATCTGTATGTGCTTGGCCTTATCATGGTAGACAAGATTGTGAGCAATATTAATAACTGATTTATTGTCACAACAAAAAGTCATAGGTATTCATATTTCACTTTAAGATCATTTAGAATAATTTTCAACCATCACAATTTACACACCCCTTGTGCCATACTCGAAACTCAACCTCTACACTAGACCTTGCAACCACATTTTGTTTCTTACTTAAGTCACCAAGTTTCCACCCAATGACATAAAAATTCTATGGTAGACCTCCTATCATTAACAAAACCAACATAGTTTGCATCAATATACATCTCAATATTTAATTTCCATCCTTCCTAAACAGCAACCCCCCATAGACTTGTCTTCAAATATTGAAAGATTCTTCTATATACAACTTGTAAGTGTTGTTCTCTTAGATCATGCATGAATTAACTAATCACACTCACAGCATAAGCTATGTCAAGTCTGGTGTAGTCTAGGTAAATGAGTTTCCCTACAATTCTCTCATAATGGCTTTTATTCAACACAACTCCTTTTATCACTCTTAATTTTGTGATTCCATTTTATAAGTGCTCTATTGCCCTTGCAATCAATCGTACCAGTATCTCAAAGAAAGTCTAAAAAGTATTTCCTTGGGAGATAAAGATGCCCTCTTTTTAGTAGGCAACTTCAATCTCAAAGAAGATCTTTAACTTTTTTAGATCCTTCATCCCAAACTAACTAGGAAGCTTTTCTTTCAAGATTAGTTTCTCATGCTCATAATCTCCTCCAATTATCATATTATCAACTTAGGCGAGGAGAAGAATAAGTCTCCCTTCAGAGAAATGATTCATAACAAAATATGGTGACCTTGATCGGTATCTCAAGGAAAATATAGCCTGTGTAAGTGCCCCAAACCAAGTACGAGGTGATTGCTTAAATCCATACAAGGCTTTCTTCAACAGATCCAAACCCAGACAAGATTTCCATGTAGACTTCTTGTATTTGTTAGAGTCTTTTTAGACATTAGTTTCTATTAGGATTTTAGATGGCTTATTGGATGAGTCTACTTAATTAGTGGGCCTATTTAGTGGCTGATATTTGGGGGAATTTCCTAGTTCTATACCTCAGTTCAGTTGTGAAAAACAACATGTGCGCAGGCCTTGAGAAGCAAGATCCAATGCAGGGAGAAATCAAATGGAACAAAGATTTTGGTTTTAACTATGTTTAACCAACAAAAAATTAGTATTTCCTGCTCTTTCCTTGTAATTTTGTAGTCATTGTATCATTGATCTGATTATGCTAGCTATGCCATGATTTTGATAGTTAACAGATTATGAACCTTAAGGCCTACCTTACCAAGGTCTGTGAAAATTTCTATCGTTCTATTTTCTTTAGCGGATAGTTCATTGCATACAAAAGGATGTGCTTAAGGCCTACCTTAAGGCTGTGCTTGGAATGATGCAAAAGGATGGAATGACCTTAGTTGCTACAGTCTGCATTGTATTAACTGTTGGATGGAATGAAATTAAACCTAATAAAATTTATTCCATTTCATTTAATCCAATACATTTATGTTTCCTCCCCCAACCCCCAATGTGGAGATAAAAGTTAGGATCAACTTATGATACCTTTATCTCTTTACCATTTTGTTCACTTCACAAAAAATGGAATGGAAATTTGCCTTCATTCAATATACACTGATCTCACGTAAAGCAAGTCAGAAAAGTAGATTTCCTTTTGAATACCTTGATTCACGAATGAAAAATGAATGCTTAGAGGGAAGCAGCTGCTCAGTCAAGCTACAGTCTGTGCTGGAAATAATGAAACCCATCTCCTCTAAATCAGATTTAATGAAAGACAGCTGCATCACGATAAAGAATGTCAGTCAAAGCAAGAGCTAAGTGAATTAGTACACAAATAATGAAAGAAGAACTTCACTATCATTTATCAACACAAAGAGCGATTAAACATAACTGGTAAAATAGATGGTCATCCTTTGATGGTTTGGAACCAGCTATGGGTCAGCCAAAAGGAGAATGCTAAAAATAACCTCTAAAATTGGTTGCCTAGGTTGAATGATGGGAAAAAAATATCAAAAACAAAATTTATGGCAAAACAAAAGTGCACCACAGGTCAAGCAACAACTGTTTGTGACTAGTAGCAACTTTGACAAGGTTTCCAACAGTAGAGACTGACCACTATGGCAAGGTGAACAGTGGTAGTAAGAAGGGAAGGGTTGCAGTGGAGAAGATCAGTGCAAAAATCAGAATTAGCTGCGGAGTTTATGGCCCATGTCAGAGCTCCAATGACACTGCTAGTCAGGGACCAATTTCTCGAAAATAAGGCAACTAAGGTGGTATCGTGATCAGAGTGGACAACACCAAAAACATGTCCACTGAAAAAGGTGTCCTCTAAGTATGATTTAGGGTTTAGTGTTTAGGGTTTAGGATTTATGATTTATGGTTTAGGGTTTATGGTTTATGGTTTAGGGTTTAATGTTTAAGGTTTAGGGAAATAGAACTCCAATAATGATTGGAACGCAAAACCAATTGTACCTATAAAATTGCATTTAAGGTTGATCCTTAATAAAACACCAACAATGGCTTAGTCTCACAACCCTAATTCATTGTGAATCCTATATATGAGACAGACATACATACATATATACACATGTTGGTGTAAGTTCTTGAGACAAAAAGAATTCCAAAAGGAGACATGGAATTCAATTCGCACATGTAGCATGTCTATTGGGCAAATGCATGTCGACAAGTACTACAACTTTACAGTGGTAGTACCATTATTATTTTACAGTGGTTAAACAAAGGGGTGAACCTAAAAAACTTTAGGTCATCATAAGCCTATCAATGTGCAAAAAGAGAACTACAAGACTACAAAGTAGAGAAAGAGCAACAGAACTATCAACACCACAGACGACTTGTCAAGTTCGATTCATTCTACATGCAGACTCTACTACATTAACATATCACGAGTGGTTTATGTGAGAGTGGGCCTGCTTTAAATATTAACATGTGAAGGCCCAATGTGCTTAACTAGTCGTTTCCAACCATATTCAGTATTTAAAATAAAATAATAAAACACATACGTACCATTGTATAGTAAAACATAAGAGAAATGCTGGCACAAACTTGAGGCCACTCAGAATTGGCAGATATTTTGTAAAGACCAATTAAATCAGCCACCCAATGAATCATACTTGGAAGTTCCATGGGAAGCTGATATACGTAGAGCAGGAATATATTAAAACCTGCATACAACTGGAGAAGCTTCCACCACCTTTACAACCAATTACACAGACATAAGCCCATAGGACACTAAAGGTGTCAAATATCCTAAAGACATTATGAAAGTCCATAAAGGAAAAATCCAATAAAAATCACCTGAAGAGCCCGAGAAAATTGCTTGTCAAAGACCAATCCACTAGACCAACACAACTACCAATGAAAAAAGGTAGTGATGCCCATGAAGGATGGCTAATTCCAACTACTAGCTGAATGGCAGGCAACAGCAAGCAAGATGCCACCCGTAGGTGAGAACCTTCAATACATAAACAAGGTATCCGATGGTATTATTTGCAACAATATGTGGGTGTCAGAATGAAACAATGACAGTTAGAAATAAACATATTGCTCATAAACCCTGAGGGGATAAAAAGGCTCAACGACACAACAAAAAATGTCAAAAATGAAACAATTACCACCAGCTTAAATAATATTAACCCAAGTTTTAAATGACTAAATCTGTGAGTGATTAGGTAAAGATAATATAACTATAGCTCTGAATAGTAAACTAGAGTTGTGCAGGGAATTTTCGAAGCCTCATGGTTTCCGTTTAAGTAAAACAGAGTACATGGAATCAAAGTTTAGCCAAACGCACACTAGCATTGTATTGGAGGTAAAATTGGATATTATAGCAGGCCTCAAGTCACAATGCATGTGGGGTCGATGAAAGAGAAATGTATTATGTGTTACTTGTGATCAATGAAATGAATTCTCTCAAGCTTATAAAAGGTTAATTTTATCACAACAATACAACAAGCACATAAGCTAAATGTTGCAAAAATGAGAATGTTAAGTTGAATGAGTGGATATAAAAGAAATGATAGAGTTAAGAATGAATGTATTAAAGAAAAAGTAGGAGTCACTACTATTGATGAAAAGAAGGTACAATAACAAACTATGATGGTTTGGCCATGTATAAAGAACAAAAAGAGCCCCACTTGGAATGGTTATCAAATACATAATATCTTAATAATGCAAGGTAGAGCAAGATCAATCAAAACACTAGGTGAAACCATTAAAAAGGATTTAGATCTAAAATGGTCTATCTTAAGACTGATATTTTCTAGAGCCTTTAAGAGTAGGGTATTGAGCATTGTGTTTGTTGGGAAGTCTCACGTTACATACCTTAATCTTGGAGTGTAATATATATTCGTTGGACAACTTTGCTTAATGACATGTTTTTAAGATAAAATTTGACATGATATCAAAATCTATATCTCATCTTGGTAAATCACCTATTCTGAGAGACTAGCCTATTCTAACAAGCATCTATGAAGGGGGGTCTTGGGAAGTCTCACATAGCCTGCTTGAATTCTTGAACATGGCTTATTTATTTGTTGGACAACTTTATTCAATGTTAATTGGTTTTAAGATGAAATTGGTTTTAATGACAATTGATTTTAGCATGAAATCTAACATGATATCAAAACCTCTAACTCATGTTGGTAAATCACCTATTGTAAGAGACTAGCTTATTCTAACAAGCATCCATGGTGGGGGAGTATTGTGAAGTCCCACTTGTGAAGTCCCACATAGCCTACATGAATTCTTCAAGCATGGCTTATATATTTGTTGGACAACTTTGCATAATGTCAACTAGTCTTAAGATGAAATCTAACAATGTTTAGAGTGGACGAGATATTTATGGTCCTTACAATATCCTATACTATTGACCTAGTTTAAAGACTATTAGCCACATTGGATTCAATTCTACTATTTCACATGGGATTAGGAGTTCCTCTAAATCTTTCCTTTTATGGGATCTATTTTTCTCTCCATGAGACAAACCCAGTGTTCATCAAAAACACTAAACAAGTTATTCCTTATATATTAGAAGTTCATGGGCAATGCAAGAATAATGAGAAGAAGATTCAGAACTCAATCAACACATTACACAAAAGTCAGAAAATAAAGTGGAAAAGTAAATTATGAATATTATTATTAATGACCACACCCCAAACCAAGGGCTAGGAAGGAGCATCAAATACACTTATCCAGAGAAAGGAAGCCACAATGGGAGAAATAAGAAGCAGGATTCGAAAGAAAATGAACCCCCAATGTCTAGGGACCAAATCCTCTTATTTGAATTTGAAAAGAGATTAATAGAGCTCAACATTCAAATAATTCCCTATCATTTGAATTCTAAAGAAGTGAAAAAACTCAAAAACAGTTGAGCAGGATAAAAAATAAAACTTAATAACAAGCATTGGACGACAAAGAGAGGTCAAAAGTCTAGCAAATGCATGAGAAAGAGGAATATCAATACCAAAGAACCTTCCAAATATGAAAATGGAAGCCATCACCCAAATCTAATGAAATGGGAGAAGTAAAAAACTAATAAGCAGAGTTTTGTGATATAAACTTTCACGGCCTAGCATGCAAAGCATTGACTACAATATTAGCATCTCATCTATTAGAATGCAAAGTCGTAGAAAGTCACCTTTAATCCCAACTCAACCTCACAAGATCGGCTTGTAAGATGAGATTTATATCCACTTTTTATACTATAATTTAGTCATATTTCTAATTGATATGAAACCTCTAACACACCCTCACACAAAATTGGACATCTCAAGCATGGGGCTAGATATTTGTGGGTGATTCAATAGCGGGTGAAAAAATAAGCCCAACAAACTTTAGGATAAACTATGATATCATATTAGAAATTGAACTTTAAGCCTAACTCAATATTACAAAACTAACTTGTAAGATGAGGTTTGCACTCACTTATATACTACAATATGATCATATCTCTAACTGTTGTGGGATCTTTAACACATAGCATATTACTTATATACTATAAGACAAAGCATATTAGTCATATACTATAACACAAAGCATATTACTTATATACTATAAAACAAATCATATTTCAAATAAGTTCACCTTTACATCAATCAACCAAGAAAATATTCTTTTTCACAACAAACAATTCAAAGAAGATTGTGTACTTATTTGCATTAGGACACATGAGATGACATTCATATGTCAAGAGTGGATATTTCATATTTTATGTTCACAAACAAATGGTACATGGCAATCAAATAAAAGGGGAAAAAAAAGAAACAAAAGGGTGAAAGAAACTACTTACAAACCTAAATGTTCTATAATTGATAAGAAATGACCCCAAGACGAATCTTGCCATATTTTCAGAAAATGTCTCTTCCCATATATATCAACCAAAGCAACGAGAAGGGCTAGCAGTTGTATAATCAAGAAATAAATTGCATAGGGAGATTTCCAAGACTGAACTCTGCAAGTGCACACCCATAATTAACAAATCAATATATTTATAAAAGGGAAAATCGAGAATAAGTGTGAATTACAGTAATCTCACATCATAAACCCAATCAACTTTGCCCACCAAGCTTCTTGTATACTCCGTGACATTGGTTGAACAGCCCATATTACTAAATAAGTCACTTCAGAAAGTATTGCAACTACAGAAAAGATAACAATTGGCCACAGCAACAAAAACCTCCTGCGGAAATGAAATCCTACAAGAAGTAAAACAACAATAATAGTAATTAAATATAACTGTTAAAGACAACACAAATATTAGTAAAGCTTAGTGTCCAGCATACCAATCGGCAATACCAACAATCCACAACCCATGTGAATAATTCTATATAATTGTTATCACAAGGACCAAGTTTTATCAGCCAATTACAATGGCACCTACCTAAGAAACATAAACATTCAAAAGGAGATCTACCAAGTCATATTTCAAATAGAAACAACTTCAACTCGGTCAGAATGAATTCTTTTTTTTTTCAACAAAAAACTAAAGGAGTATGATTGATTAGATTGACACAATTATATCATTGACTGTTAATCTGTTCCTTATTCTTTATTTACTTGGTTCCCATTCAAAACTCCACTGGACTACATTCCTTACTGAATATATGGTATAAATTGTTGGGAGGAACTCAGCCTGAAGATAATCTACGTGAGAGGCTAGCCCAACAAATAACAGTTATAAGTATTAAAAGATTTACTGAATGGAGGTAGGTAAATTCACTGTTAATCTGCAAAATGACACACAGGAACTGTCAACTATCGAGCAATAATAGAACGGAGAGAGAAAAGTATTCTGTTCAACATAGAATTCTCATGATAAGGTCGTCATTTCAAAATTGTAGTTTAATACTTTAAGAGAAACAATAACTTGGAAACCAAACAGAAAGAACTAAGCAGCTTACCTAATTGTGATACATTGTACAAAATGAGAAGAAATGCGCTCAAATCAACAAGAGAGATCAAACTCCAGTTGATTAAAGCAGCTGCAAGAAAGAAGAACATATAAAAATCAGCGCATACTTCAACCGCGGAGAACATATACCATACATGTGTCTACTTTACATAAAGAAACCAGACATAAATATAAGCTAATTGAAAACAACATTTAAAAACTACACCTAATATTCTTCCTTTAATTGTTTACCCATCCTAATAATAATCTTCCTTCTAAATCTTGAGACTAAGAAATAAAAATATAAAATCACACGGTATATATGTGGATACTGAATACTCAATAATAGCTACAGCTCAGTCGCTAGTGCCTATTCACTGTCACTTCAAAATTAATAATAAATGATTGAGTATAACGGCGTCTAGTGATTAAAGAATTTACAGTGATTCTAATCTAGTTAGTCCCAGATTCTTCAAATCCAATACGATTATAGATTTTATTACGACATGAACTTCACTAGGATAAATAAAATAATACGATAATGACGAACAACTTATGCTGTCAACTTCGCATATAATATATTACAGGTTTTAGCAACAAAAACTAAAATCAATCCAACTAAGAACCTCACTCCTACTTTGTTGAGAAAACACAAATTGCAAATAACGGTACCTGAAAGAAGAAGTGAAGGCAGTACGAAGCCGGCGAGAAACCTTCCCATTGATTTTGGAGGCAAACACACGGATCACATCGAGATTCAAATCAATCAATCAGCTGGTACGAGATTCGATCGTTTCTTCGTGAAATGAGTTTTTCCCGAATCGCGAAGAAAGTACTTTCCGGCGCGAAGAGAAAAACTCGCCGCAAACTACCGCCACTCAAGAAAACGGAAATTTTGGTTTCACGCTTTTCTTTTCTTCGCTCTACAGTTTCAGTTTGACCCAAATTTTCTCAGATAAGACGCTGTTACGAAAGGCACAGAATTGAGAACTCCGTCCAGAATTTTCTAAAACCACCAGCAAATATAATAAATATTATTATTATTTATGACAGGGATAAACAAATAAAAATTGTGTGCCAAAATTGTGCTGCGCCAGGAAGAAAGGAAGCAGATATTGCTGAAAAGTTAATAATTTTGCGACTCTCAATGCTGCGTTTGTCCAATGAGAAATTTTATTGTATAAAATAAAATGAAAATTAAATTGTTTTCATTCTCGTGCTTTGGATCCACGTTGCTTGCGCCTGAAGCCGGCTCATGTGGGAGGGTACGATGGTCATTTAAGACATTTTGATTTTGGTGCCATTTCCTTTTAAAACCATGACCAGTGGCGCTCAACAAAATTTTAACTCAAAGCTTCAGCACATGAGTACCGAATATTCTATACCTAACCTACCGGTTCTTCGACCTACAAATCTCAGGGTTTCGTGGAACAAAGGATCCAATAATGTATAATAACATTTACATTATTGCTATGTATGATTTTTAGGTTAGGTGTTTTTTAAAATATATATTTTATATACCAATTCAAAAAAAAAAAAATATATATATATATATGTATAAAGCAAAGATTCTTTTATTTTAGCAATAATAGTTTAAAAAAATATTTTTTATAATTTTTAATAATTTAAAATAATAATTCATCATAATTATTAAATAAAATAATAAAAAATAAAAATGAAAATAACTTTTTAAATAACAAAATTATTATTTATATATTTGGATTGAAGGATAAATTTTAAGAATTTTAGACAGTGTAAAATAAAATAAACATAATAAAAAAAGTGTGACTTTTTTAATTGAGAAAAAAATATTATAATAAATAAAGTTGAATAATTAATTAAATAATTAAATAATAAGATAAATTAATAAATCATAAAAATATTTTGTTTTAATTTTAATAAGAATAAGTAGAAATAAAAATTAAAATATGATTTAATATGAATAATTATTTCAAAATTTTGATACAAAATAATTTAAAATAATATATATAAAAAAATTATAATATTACATATCTATATTTATGATTATTTTTTTAATAATTTATATGTAATATTAAAATACAGAAAATATTTTAAGAAGTAAAATATTCAATAAAATGTATTATTTATGTATGTTTTTTCTATAATTTGTAATAAAAAGTATAAATAATTTAATATTTATGATAATAAAAAATTTATTAATATAATAAATATGTAGGTCATTATTATATTTTCAAAACAATATATATATATACATATATATATATATATATATATATATATATATTAATCTGAATTTTTACATATTTAAAAAAATATATAAATAAACTTTTAATATATGAAAAATTAAATACATTTCACACTTTATAATATAAATTATATGTAATTATGCACGTTTGATTATTTTTTTTTATATTTTAACATTAAATAGATATGGTGTTCCTAATAACTTTTTACTAGATTTTTAATTATAATTTTTATCTAAATGCTTCACACATTATATAAATAAAATTGTGTTTAAATCTTATCAAATTTTAATTAAAGTTAAAAATATCATAAATTTTCCTCTTAAATTTCTATTCTCTATATTTAGAATATTTAGTTGCAAAATTATTTTCTATCACAAATTGTTCTCCAACGGAAATTATTTGAATGTAAAACAATTAAAAATACTAAATAAAAATAAATAAAAACTAATTTTATTTAATTTTAAAATCAGAATTATTTAAAACAACTTTTAAAAAATAACTTTCTTCATAATTCAAACTTTAAAATTCAATAGTTATAATTATAAGAATTTAACTTCATAAGTGGGACATTAGAGATACTTTTTGTTTTATAGTGTTGGTTAGTTGTTGTTATATTTTGTTAATAGTCTTGACATTCTGTTATAGGTTGTTATCTTTCTTTATTTTTATTTTTTTTCATATATATATATATATATATATATATATATATATATATTTTGGTTCTTATAATTTAAAAGTGACTAATCAATATTTGAGATTTTTTTTTCATTTGGTGAGTATGTTATTCCCTTTCCCATATTACTAATAATAATAATAATAATAATAATAATAATAATAATAATAATAATAATAATAATAATAATAATAATAATAGATAGATAGATAGATAGATAGATAAGAGAAAGTAGAAAACAAGAGAAAGAAGTGAAAAATGTTTTTTTTATTTGAGTGAAAAATCTAAAAAAATAGTGGAAAATTAATAATTAATAAAATTGATTAAGAAATTAAATAATAGATAAATTAATTAATAGTCAAAATATATTAAACATAAATTAAAAAAAATATAAATTAAAATGAGATATAATTTAATATAAAGTTATTATTTAGTATAATGAATAAAAATAAATAATTTGTTAATTTAAATTATATATAACTTAAAAGTAAACTTATAATATTTTAACTATATTTATATTTTATAATTTTAATTTTATATGTATATAAGTTTTTTTTATTTATGAATAATATATTTAATTAATATATGAAAAAATTTAAAATTTTATATTTCTTAACAATACATATTTAAGAATAATAATAATGTTTAATAATACTTTTAATGTTATTTTAAATTAAAAGGTTTTATATTTCCTAACATAATAAATAACATTAAATAATTTATATAATATTAGAAAATTATATTATATTAATAAATGTAAAATGTCAAAACTCAAAATTTTAAATAACATTAAAATTATTAATATATGATAATAACATTATTGGACAAATAAGCTTTTTCATTTAGGTTATTTTAGATTTTTTATATTGGTTATAAAATTAATATAAATCAAGATAGCATAAATAATTTTATTTTTTAATTCATTTATTAAATACTTATTTTGCTGTAATTTTATAGAAAGTCTTTGTTCATTGTTGTTTATTTTATACAATCATATTTCTCATTAATATTTTATCAAAAATATTTAATATAATAACAAAATATAAAAATTAAACACTATCATCATACATATCATACATATGAAAAACAATTAAACATATAAAATGTCGAGCACGCAGCGGTAGCCACTTAACCAATAACTATAGTTATTAGTAAGGGTTCCCACATTGATACTTAAACTCTCGGTCCCACCACGATTCCGGGACTCTGACGCTCTTCGGGAATCTCGTGGGGACTTACCACCCGCTGCCCCAATTCCGTCCCTGCAGGGAATCAAGTGCGCGTCCTCGCTCCGATACCAAAGGATGAGCGCGCAGCGTTAACCACTTAGCCAAAAACAATTAAACATATAAAGAATTACCATTTAAGTTAGATGAATAACAAGAGAAAAAGTTCATAGTAAAGAACAAAATTTAATATGTATTAAAACATTTCATTGATCCAAATAATAAAATATAAATTAATAAAAAAAATTAGATAGCACTTTCAAATATTATCTTTGTAAACAAGATTTCAAAAGTGGCGTACAAATGTCAAAAAGACTAAAAGTGACTATATACATATAGTGACGAGAGACTCAGACAAAAAGAAGAAAAAGTTAGGTAAACTCTTTGGTGCACAAGCAAAAAAAATTAGAAAATTAGAAAGACAAAAAAAAGAGTTCAAAATAAATTTACAATAATTTTAAATTAAAATATTTTTTTATGATCGTGCAACATTAAATCCACAATATATATTTTTATGTTAATTAAAAATTGAACTGAGATTAAAAAAAATATTTACTATAATACTTAAATTTTAAATTAATATAAAAAGTGTTGGTATTTAATATTGAAAAAATTACTTATGATGATTTTAAAAATGGTTCAATTTTAAACAAAGATAAAATAAAATGTTCCTTCCTTTGTGATTCTAACAATAGGTAGAATACGGTCAAATTCCAAACAATAAGCATCAGGTGGCTATTGAAGTGTGTGATTTTTTATTATGTAACCTGTGTACCCAATCCCATAATAAATTATGCAACGAATGACAGAATAATTTGGAATTTTTTTTATAAATAATATCATTTTAAAAAATATTTTTCAAAATAGCATGTGTACAATGCTATTTACTCATCTAGTATCATTCTCACGTTTAAAATTCGGTTACAGGAAATCGAATTCTAAACTACTATTTTTTTTTTTTTTCAATCAGAATTGGGTATTCGGTCTTTCTAATTTTTTTAATTTTTGTTTTATTAATTTTATAAATAGATTTTTTTTTATAATTCTAAATATAATTTATTTTTAAGTTTATAATTATTATTTTAATTTATGCAAAATATATATATATATATATATATATATAATTAATTTGAAGTTCATATATATAATTTTAATTTATGTAATATATATATATATATATATAAAAATTATAACTTATATAATATATATAATTTATTCACACATAAAAAATAGATATATTTTTATTAATTTTATAATTATAATTTTTTTAAGGTTATAATTCTAAACATAATTTTTTTAACTTTATAATTATAATTTATATAATATATATAATTTATAAATAGTTATATTTTTAATTTGATATATATTTTTTATTTGTAATTAATGTATATTTAAAGTAATTTATTTATATGTTTATATATAATACTTTATAATTTTATTTGTATAAATAAAAAATAATTACTCTAAATTAATCAAGTAAAGAAGAAATTTTATTAATTGAAAAATTCTTAAGTTTCATAGTACATTGGGACATTTCTTAACTAACAATCTAATGATGCAAAGTAGATGCATGTGCAACATTAAGATATGTTCTTACGCTATGAGCAAGGAGTATGACAATATGAATATTTTTTTCATTCTACTTTGATTTTTTATAATATCCATCTCAGTTCTTATAGCCTGGATTTTGGTCGGCCTTTTAAAGTTCTTTTCATCTCTGGATTTGTACACAAAGTAGGTCCTATGTATGTTGGCCAATATTCTTCATTTCACAGCAACCCAAATTATGTTTCATATACCTTTGAAACATGTTGTAAGGTATACATTGGATGAATGTAGTTGCTAAAGTCATGTGTGCATGCAGTAAGAACATGTGAACAAGGTATGTGAAATTTCTGGAATTTCCCACATTCACACCACAACTTATCAAGGCGAACTGCAAACTTCCCTGCTGGTCAAACTTCACGCGGGTTTTGTATTTCTTCTATTACAAATTTTGTGGTAGATCTGTCAAAATTTATGATTGTATGTGTGTTCGCTTGTGTTTGTATTTCCTCTAAATTTGTAACCGAAATTTCGGAGTATACATGACCGACATTGATATGACATCTATCTGTCTCCCTCTTTCAATAAAAAATTTGTCGGTAATAACAAAAATCAGTCGTAAATTTGATGGTCGGTAAATATTACCGACGGATTTAATAGTCCGTCGCTAAATGTTTTATGAAATTACCTATTTATTAAATATTTTACTTATATAGCTTATTTATTTTATAGAAATACCCTTCCCTTTATATTATTATTATTTATTATTAATTATTTTCCCCTATTACATTTTTAAAGCCTTTAATTATTATTAGATTAAGAGAATTGTTATTGGCGGGATTCAAACCCGAGTACCTTAGAGTTAGAGGTCGATACTCCAACCACTAAGCTACTAGAATTTTTTGATAATAATTTACAAATAAATTATATTTATATACAAATATATTTATATATTTATATATTTATATATTTATATTTTATATATTTATATATTTTTATTTTATATATTTTTATATTTTTATATTTTTATATATATTTATATATTTATATATTTATATATAATTAAATATTTTTATATATTTATATATAATTAAATATTTATTTTTTAAAATTATTTAATTTAAGAAATTATTATAAATTAATCTAATTATGATTAAATTAAATTATTAAATAAAAAATATTTAATTTTTTAATTAGGTGAATATTTACTAATTGTTAATTTACCGATGGATTTACCGACGGATATATCTATCGGTAAATTCATCTGTAAATTACCGACAGATTTATCGACGGATATATCCGTCGGGAACTAATTATTATTTTACCGACGGATATATCCGTCGGTAAAATCAAATTCCACAAATATTTTATATCCGTCGGTAATAATTATTTTCAGACGGATTTAAATCTGTCGGTAATACACGATTTTCTTGTAGTGGCTACAACAATATTAAAAAAACATAGTTAATATAAATATTTATTAGCAAAAGTTAAATAATGAATAAATTGTAACAAATTTGAAGCAAAGAAATTACTCATATTTATGAAAGCAATGAGGAGGAGATTGATGGTAATGTGAAACATGTCCCTACATTCCCAAGAGATTATTTTGATGATGATTCAAGTCAACAACATTCAAGACTCAAGCAAGCCCAAGATATGATTTTGATAAAGATTCTATTCAACATTCAAGCAAGCCCAAGATTATTCCTGAATACTAGATGGAGTCTTAGAATACTGGATATGGAGGTACAAGTTGATGAAGTAATATTATGAAAGAGATGAAGATCTTATTGAATTACTTTGGCAAAGATCTTGTTGATTTGATGAAGTCAAAAATGAAGTCAAAGGCTACTTTGTGGCAGTCAAAGGTCACTTAGATATAAGAGTAGTGGGTTTAATGAGTCTACATCTCTGCTTAGGTATAATCATTTTTATCTCTCTCGCTGCATGAGGTTTTTTCATTTAAAAGATTTTGCAAAATGCCTCTAAAAAGCGATTAAACGGTTAAAAAAAGTATTTTGATAAAAGATTTTTAATTAACTATTTTAACTAATAGTATACAAACTTTATCAACTAAAATGTTATTAACACTTTTGTAACAAGTTTTTAAGCTGATATGTTTTCGAAATAATCGATTGTTTTCATTAGAAGGATTTTTGAAAACCTTACGCGATATTTTAACTTATATAGAATTGATATAATCGATTAAAATGATTTAGAATATTTTGAAAAGTGTTCTGGCGAATTTTAATCGATACAAACTCGAAATAATCGATTGAAATAACTTGAAGTGTTTTGAAAGTTGTTACGTCGAGTATTTTAATCGATACAAATGTGAAATAATCGATTAAAACAACTAAGAGGTTTTTCCAGAATGTTTTAATCGATTAAAACAAGCTTGCTATCAGTTAAAATAACTTAGAAAGTTTTATGAAATTTTTTGGCAGAATTATAATCGATTAAAATGTGTTTCAATCGATTAAAATAACTAAGTGAATTTTTTTTCAAAGTGTTTTAATCGATTAAAACAGATTGTTATCAGTTAAAATCACTTAGAAAAGTTTATAAGAATGTTTTGCAGTATTTTAATCGATTGAAAGACGAAATAATCGATTAAAACAGTTTAGAAGATTTTTTACAAAGAGTTTTAATTGATATAAACGTTGTCGTATCAGTTAAAACACATCTGGAAAATAGTCAAGAACATTTTATCAGATTAAAAGATTATTTTAACAGATTAAATAAACCAGCAGTTTTGAAAATCTTCTATATAAACAATATTGCTTGAACCTTTTAAAACACATCTTTTAGCAATCAATCAAGCAATCATAAGTGCTACTTTCAAGAGAGATTCACGCTAGTTTTTGTGAAGTTCATAGAAGTTCTTTCTTGAGGCAAAATTGCATTCTTTTGGAGAAGAAACACATACTGCAGAGTTGCATAAATCTGGTTTGAGCGTTCTAAGTTTCTTCTATTTGTTTCTTTACTTTCTTTACTATATTGTGGGTGCCTGGAATTGTGGGCACTGGTTTCTGTAGCTGAAATTTGGCTGCAGGGTTGGTCAAGAACTGGAATTTGGTTCTTGGTGAAGGTTGAGGTGCAGGAACTGGAATTGTGGTTCTTGTGGTAGATTGAGTATGAGATTAAAGTTGTAATCTGTAAAACGTTTAATCTAGTGGAACCCAGCTGGAATTTGGCTGGAGACTGGATGTAGCCCTGGGATTGGGTGAACCAGTATAAACCTTGGTTGTATCTTTCTAAATCTTTCTCTCCTTTAATTCTGTCACTGAAAGTGATCCTAGCAAAGATCTCATTGATTTGATGAAGTCAAAGATAAAGTCAAGGGTCAACTCTGCAGCAGTCAAACAAGTTACTCAGAAGAATGGAGCCGAAGACTTAGTGTGTCTTAACAGAAAGCTTAGGTAAAACCACTTTACCTTTTCCACTGCATAAAGCTTCTTCACTCATTTTGCAAAATGCCTCAAAAATAGTTTTAAACAAATCAAAAACAAAAGCATTTTGACAAAGAACTTTCTTAATAATGTTTTTAACTGATATTGCTTTTAAAGAAACGTTTAAAACACTTAGAATGTTTATAGAAGTGTTTTCACAGCATTTTAATTGATACAAAAACCTTTTAATCGATTAAAAACCCTTTATGACCGATTGGAATTCGAATATAACGAGTCAGAATGAAATATAATCGATCAGATTTTAAATATGAGCGATCAGATTGCTTTTAATCGATTAAAACACGTTTTAATCGATTAAAACCACTTTGGAAGTCAGGATGATCGATCAGAATGAAATTATGACCGATCAGAGTTGGTTATGATCGATCAGAATTGAATTATGACCGATCAGACATATTTCAATCGATTAAAACGTATTTCAATCGATTAAAATAACTTAGAAAATCTTTTCAATCGATTAAAACGAACTTTCAATCGATTAAAATGACTTGAAAATATATGTGCAGATTTTCAATCGATTAAAACGAATTTATATCAGCTAAAATAACTTAGAAAGTTTTATAAGAAGGTTTTTAAACATATCAATTGATTAATACGCGATTCAATCGATTGTTTTATACTTAGAAAATGTTTGTAAAACGTTTTAACTGATAAAAACGTGGTCGTATCAACTAAAACATTTTCTGTTAAAGATCAAGAATGCATTAATGGGTTGAAAGGATTT